AAAAAATGGTAAATGGTTCAAGTTCGGAATCCCCCCCCCCCCCCCCGGCCGCCTTTCCTGCATGGTTCAAAACTCACGTTGAAAGTGAAATTCGTATGTCCATATCCAATTTTTCATGTTATCCCAATTGTTTTGCTCATGCCTAATGGGTAACAGTAGGTGACTCCGTATTATCAGAAATTTTAGTTTATCTGCTGTTCTGCCGGCCTGCTTATGTCGGGTAAGCGAGACTCTACTTTATGTGTGAATCAAAATGGTTCAAGAAGGGAAGCCTGGGGGCCACGCGCCAGCAAAAGGGCAAAAGGACTGCCGGAAAGGCCGGTCCCTTGCCAGGTGAAATGGGCTCGTCTGTAATGGGCAAGCACTGAAAGAGCGAGGAGTCAGAAACCACGACTCAAAAGGGAGAGGCCAAGTTTCTGTCCTCAGTGGCTCAAAACGTACAAGGCAGGGAGAAAAAGGAACTCCAACAGCACAACATCCCGGCACTTTGAGTATCTCGTGGCTCAGCCCTTTCACAAAAAGATGAGATCCTTCCGTTGATCTGCCCAATACCGTTTCCCAGGAACTGGCAAACTTCCTGTGAGAGGGATCACTGGGGGAATGCAGGGCCATGAAGCCGTGTGGATCCTGCCGTTTGGCCCAGTTTGGAGCCCTGGACCTTCTGAATGGATGGACGCGTTTCTCAGGGGGAGAGAGGTGGCGGGAGCCCTGGTCCAGCTTGCCTCAGAGGGAGCTCTTCGTGGTGAGAGCCGTTCAGCAGTGGAACTCTCTGCCCCAGGGGGAGTGTGGTGGAGGCTCCTTCTTTGGAAGCTTTGAAAGAGAGGCTGGATGGCCATCTGTCAGGGGTGCTTTGAATGCAATATTCCTGCTTCTTGGCAGAATGGGGTTGGACTGGATGATGGCCCAGGAGGTCTCTTCCCACTCTAGGATTCTATCATTCCATGATTCTATGATTCTATGCTGAGCCTGCTTTGGCAACAGGGCCCTGGGCAGCACCCAACACAGCTCCATTCAGCCCGAATAGCTGCAAAACAGGCTGTGTACCCACTTCCCCAAACCATGGAGACCCTGGTTTGCCGCTTCTGCTGGAGACCTTGCCCACCAGAGAAGGACGGGTGGCATCACCAGGGAATCCTGGCCATTGAGCGCCCATGGCAATGGTCTCCGGCATCATTGGTGGCACGTCTACGCTCCCAATGGAGGCCGCTGGAGGTGGCCTTCCATGGTCAGTCCAGGCTGGGCCTCAGGGACATGGAAGGAAGGGAGGCCCCTTCCTGTTTTGCCCAAAGGAGGCAAAGGATAGAGGCCTCCTGAAGGAAGGGAGGGAGGGAGGGAAGGGGAAGGAAGGGAGGGAGGAAGGAAGGGAAGGGAGGGAGGAAGGAGAAGGAAAGGAAGGAAGGAAGGGAAGGGAGGGAAGGAGAGGAAGGAAGGAAGGGAGGAAGGAAGGAAGGGAGGAAGGGGGGAAGGAAGGGGGAGGGGGAAGGAAGGAAGGAAGGAAGGAAGGAAGAAGGAAGGAGGAAGGGAGGAAGGGAGAGGAGAGGGAGGAGGGAGGGAGGAAAGGAAGGAAGGAAGGAAGGAAGGAGGGAGGAGGAAGGAAGGAGAAGGAAGGAAGGAGGAGGAAGAGGAAGGAGGAAGGAAAGAAGGAAGGAGGAAAGGAAAGAAGGGAGGAGGAAAGGATGAAGGAAGGAAGGAAGGAGGAAGGAAGGAAGGGAGGAAGGGGGGAGAAGGAAGGGGAAGGGGAAGGAAGGAAGGAAGGAAGGAAGGAAGGGAGAAGGAGGGAGAGAAGGAAGGAGGGAGGGAGGGAGGGAGGAAGAGGGAGGAAGGAAGGGAGAGAGAGAAGGGAGGGAGGAAGGAAGAAGGAAGGGAGGGAAGAAGGAGGAAGGAAGGAAGGAGGAAGGAAGGAAGGAAGAAGAAGAGGAAGGAAGGAGAAGGAAGAAGGAAGGAGAAGGAAGGAGGGAGGAAGGGGAGGAAGGGGGAGGGGAAGGAAGGAAGAAGGAAGAAGAAGGAAGGGAGGAAGGGAGGGAGAGAGGAGGGAGGAAGGAGGGAGGGAGGAGGGAGGGAGGAGGAAAAAGGAGAGAGAGAGAAGGAGGGAGGAAAGAAGGAAGGAAGGGAGGAAGAGAGGAAGGAGGGAGGGAAGGAAGGAAGGAAGAAGGAAGGAAGGAAGGAAGGAAGGAGGGAGGGAGGGAGAGGGAGGAAGAAGGAAGGAGAAAGGAGGGAAGGAAGGAAGGAAGGAAGGAAGGGAGGAAAGGAAGGAAGGGGAGAGGGAGGGGGGAGGGGGAAGGAAGGAAGGAAGGAAGGAAGGAAGGAAGGAAGGAGAAGAGGGAGGGAGGGAGGGAGGGAGGAAGGGAGGGAGGGAGGGAGGGAGGAGGAAGGGAGGAAGGAAGGAAGGGAGGAAGGGAGGGAGAGGGAGGGAGGAAGGAAGGAAGGAAGGGAGGGAGGAGAGGAGGGAGGAAGGAGGAAGGAAGGAAGGGAGGAAGGGAGGAAGGAAGGAAGGGAGGAAGGAAGGGAGGAAGGAAGGAAGGAAGAAGGGAGGGAGGAGGAGGGAGGGAGGAAGGAAGGAGGAAGGAAGAGGAGAGAGGAGGAAGGGAGGGAGGAGGAGGAAGGAAGGAAGGGAGGAGGGGGGAAGGAAGGAAGGGGAAGGAAGGAAGGAAGGAAGGAAGGAAGGAAGGAAGGGAGGAAGGGAGGGAGGGAGGGAGGGAGGAAGGGAGGAAGGAAGGAAGGAAGGAAGGAAGGAAGGAAGGAGGAGGGAAGAAGGGAGGAGGGGGAGGGAGGGAGGAAGGAAGGAAGGAAGGGAGGAGGAAGGGAGGAAGGAAGGAGGAAGGAAGGAAGGAAGGAAGGAAGAAGGAGGAAGGAAGGAAGGAAGGGAGGAAGGAAGGGGAAGGAGAGAGGGAGGGAGGGAGGGAGGGAGGGAGGGAGGAAGAAGGGAGGAGGGAGGAGGAAGGAAGGAAAGAAGGAGGGAGGAAGGAGGGAGAAGGAAGGAGGGAGGGAGGAAGAAGGGGGAAGGAAGGGGGGAGGGAAGGAAGAGGAGGAAGGAAGGGAGAAGAGGAGGAAGGGAGGGAGGGAGGAAGGAAGGAAGGAAGGGAGAGAGAGGAAGGAAGGAAGGGAGGGAGGAAGGAAGGAAGGGAGGAAAGGAGAAGGAAGGAAGGAAGGAGGAAGGAAGGAAGGGAGGAAGGGGGAAAGAAGGGGGGAGGGGAAGGAAGGAAGGAAGGAAGGAAGGAGGAAGGAAGAAAGGGAGGAAGGAGGGAGGGAGGGAGGAAGGAGGAAGGGAGAAGGGGAGGAGGGAGAGGGAGAGGGAGGAAGGGAGGAAGGGAGAGGAAGGAAGGGAGGAAGGGAGGGAGGAAGGAAGGGAGGAAGGAGGAAGGGAGGAGGAAGGGAGGAAGGAAGGGAGGAAGGGAGGAAGGAGGAAGAGAGGAAGGAAGGAGAAGGGAGGAAGGAAGGAAGGAAGGAAGGAGGAAGGAAGGAAGGGAGGAAGGGGGGAAGGGAAGGGGGGAGGGAAGGAAGGAAGGAAGGAAGGAAGGGAGGAGGGAGGGAGAGAAGGAAGGGAGGAAGGAAGGGAGAGGAGAGGAAGGGAGGGAGGGAGGAAGGAAGGAAGGAAGGAAGGAAGAGGAAGGGAGGGAGGGAGGGAGGAAGGAGGAAGGAAGGAAGGAAGGAAGGGAGGGAGGAGGAGGAAGGAGGAAGGAAGGAAGGAAGGGAAAGGAAGGAAGGAAGGAGAAGGAAGGAAGGAAGGAAGGGAGGAAGGAAAGGAAGGAAGGGAGGGAAGGAAGGAGGAAGGAGAGGAAAGGGAGAAGGGAAGGGAGGGAGGGAGGAGGGAGGGGAAGGAAGGAAGGGAGGAAGGGAGGAATGGAGGGAGGGAAAGAAGGGAGGAAGAAGGGAGAGGAAGGAGGAAGGAAGGGAAGGAAGGAGAAGGAGGAGGAAGGAAGGAGGAAGGAAGGGAGGAAGGAGGAAGGAGAAGGAAGGGAAAGGAAGGAAGAAGGAAGGAAGGGAAGGAAGGAAGGGAGGAGGGAGAGGAGGAGGAAGGAGGAGGAAGGAAGGGAGAGAGAGAGGAAGGGAAGGGAGAGGAAGGAAGGAAGAAGGAAGGGAGGAAGGGGGAGGAAGGGAGGGAAGAAGGAAGGAAGGAAGGAAGAAGAAAGAAGGAAGGAAAGGGAGGGAGGAAGGAGGGAAGGAGGAAGGAAGAAGGAGGGAAGGAAGGAAGGGAGGAAGGGAGGAAAGGGGAGGAAGGGAGGAGGGAGGAGGAAGGGAGGGAGGGAGGAGGGAGGGAGGAAGGAAGGGAGGAGGAAGGAAGGAAGGAAGAGGAAGGAAGGAAGGGAGGAAGGAAGGAAGGAAGGGAGGAAGGAGGGAGGGAGAGGGAGGGAGGGAGGGAGGGAGGGAGGGAGGAAGGAGAGGAAGGAAGGGAGGAAGGAAGGAAGGAAGGAAGGGGGAAGGAGGGAGGAAGGAAGGGAGGGAGGGAGGAAGGAAGAAGGGGGGAAGGAAGGGGGGAGGGGGAAGGAAGGAAGGAGGAAGGAAGGGAGGGAGAGAGGAAGGGAGGAGGAGGAAGGAAGGAAGGAAGGGAAGGAGGGAAGGAAGGAAGGGAGGGAGGAAGAAGGAAGGAGGAAAGGAAAGGAAGAGAAGGAGAAGGAAGGAAGGGAGGAAGGGGAAAGGGAGGGAGGGGGAGGAGGAAGGAAGGAAGGAGGAAGGAAGGAAGGAGAAGGGAGGAGGGGGGAGGGAGGAGGGAGGAGGAGGGAGGAAGGGAGGGAGGGAGGGAGGAAGGAGGAAGGAGGAAGGAAGGGAGGGAAAAGGGAGGAGGAAGGAAGAGAGGGAGGGAGGAGAGGGAGGAAGGGAGGAAGGAAGGGAGAGGAGGAAGGAGGAAGGAAGGAAGGGAGGAAGGAAGGAAGGAGGAAGGAAGGGAGGGAGGGAGGGAGGGAGGGAGGGAGGAGGAAGAAGGAAGGAAGGAAGGAAGGAAGGAAGGAAGGAAGGAAGGAAGGAAGGAAGCCCATCCATCCCAAGAACCCACTGTTCCGCACTCACTCTGTGGTCACTTGGGAGCCATCTGACCATTCCCAGTTGCCTTCCACGTTTTCGTCTGTGAGTCCGATCCAGAAAGGCTCCCCCATCTGAGCGGTAATGTAGTTCTGCAAAAGAGAGGAGACACATGAGGGTGTTGTTGCATTCTGGCGCTGCGATGGGTCTATGTTGAGTGAATACCAGGAATGATATAGTTTTGTGGAGAGAGGGGTGCCCTCACTGGAGGCCAGGCCAGGCCATGTCCGGCAGAAGGAAGCAGGCCGGGCCCGGAGTCTCCCATCTCTGCGGTTCCATGGATCGGCTGCCTTTGGCCCAGGGAGAGGCCCTTGCCACCAGGAGCTGCCCCCACTTTCATCTCTTAGCAGAGGAACCTCTTGCACTTTGGCCCTCCCTTCCTCCCTCCCTTCCGGTGTTTTGGACTTCAACTCCTACAGTTCCTAACAACAGGTAGGCTGTTTGCAATTGTGGGAGTTGAATTCCAAAACACAGGGAGGGATGGCTGAAGTTTGCCCATGCCTGCCCTGGCCCACCTCCCTTTGGGGGCCCTTTAGGCTTCAGAGGGGTCTGTGGAGAGCATGCTACTCTGGATATTGGATTCTGCGGAGAACTGGATGATTGCCACGTTCTGTCCTCCGAAGGACTCCTTGCGTCCACCTTTGCCTGACCCTCTGAGGAGGCCTCCCTGGGGATGTTTCTATGGCAACGCTCTGGCCACTCACCTGAGAGGGACACTCGAGGACCTCCCTGCTGGCCTCCTGACACTCTTCCATGTGTCATCATGTCTTGTGTACGAACCCACATGATCTCTTTGATCATCTGGAGAGGCCCTGCTCACGCTCCCAGGCATGATTGGTGGGGACGAGAGAGAGGGCCTTCTCGGTGGTGGCCCCTCGACCTCTCCGAACGTGTTCTCCCCTATGAACCATCAAGATTATTAAGATCGTCTGGAGAGGCCCTGCTCTCGGTCCCACCGGCCTCGCAAGCGCGTCTGGTGGGGACGAGGGACAGGGCCTTCTCGGTGGTGGCCCCTCGACTCTGGAACTCTCTCCCACTGGAGATCAGAACCGCCCCTTCTATCCTGACATTTAGGAAACAGGTGAAGACTTGGCTATGGAGACAGGCATTCGACGAGTGAGTCAACACCCTGAGATATGGATGGAGGATGATGAGCAACAATTTTAGTGTGACGACTGACCATTGTAGTTATTGATTGTAATGGCTGTTTTAATGTTTTACTGTAATATGAATTATGATGTTTTATTGACTGTATGTGATATTAGGGTTGGAAACCGGCCTGAGTCCCTCAAGAGAGGTGAGAAGGCCGGCATACAAAACTTTTAAATAAATAAATAAATAAATATTATTGGTTGTTAAACCAACAAAGAAATGGTTTTGCAAAATGTTGCATTAAGACGGTGTTGTAGCCAGGCAAGGGCCAGGTCATTCTGAAGAGGATGGTTGGCTTCCAAATGAAGTGTCTGAGAGCATTCCAGGAGATTTGCAGACAGCCCAATCTGGCACAAGTCCACGCCTGGCCCTGAACCAGCAGGTGTTGTGCATCCCGGGAAAGCGGAACTGGACTTTTCCTGGAGAATAAGCCTTGGGAAGACGCAGAGGAGGTCTCGAGGGCGTGTAGAGTGCAAGTTTCAGCGGTGACCAGGGGATCATTTGCACAGTTAAAGCTTGTGCGCCAACTGCGCCCGTACCTTGGGAAGTCTGACTTGGCCACGGTAGTCCACGCTCTGGTTACATCCCACTAGACTACTGCAACGCTCTCTACGTGGGGTTGCCTTTGAAGACGGCTCGGAAGCTGCAACTAGTCCAACGCGCGGCAGCCATGATTCTAACAGGAGCAGAGCGCAGGGAGCACACAACCCCCCTGTTGCACCAGCTCCACTGGCTACCAATTTGCTACCGGGCCCAATTCAAAGTGCTGGCTTTGGCCTATAAAGCCCTAAACGGTTCTGGCCCAAGTTACCTATCCGATCGCATCTCCGCCTACGAACCCACTAGGACTTTGAGATCTTCCGGGGAGGCCCTGCTCTCGATCCCGCCTGCAACACAGGCACGGCTGGCGGGGACGAGAGACAGGGCCTTCTCGGTGGTGGCCCCTCGGCTGTGGAACGCCCTTCCCACGGACATTAGATTGGCTCCCTCATTGATGGTATTCCGGAGAAAAGTGAAAACCTGGTTATTTGAACAGGCGTTTGAATAGGCAGTGCAATGAATTCAGGAAATGGAACTACGGATGACGAGTTTAGATCATTATTCTAGTTATGAGACGCCAATGAATGTTTATTGTTGTTTAATTGCTTAGTCTGCTATTGTGTTAATTGTTTTTAAATACCTTGTTATGCTGCATTGAATTTTTGCTATTATTGTTGTTAACCGCTATGAGTCGCCTAAGGGCTGAGAATAGCGGTATACAAGTGAAGTAAATAAATAAATAAATAGATCTCTGGACGCAAGGCGTGAAAAGCAGGCAATGAAGACCTTCCCAGAGAATTAGAGTTAGGAGTTTCAGGTCCAGGCGTGGGAAGGATGGTGTCACGAGTGCCTTGGTGGGTTTAAGTTAGGGGTTTGATTCTTGGCATTTCAGAGAAGACAGCTTTGTTGTGAGGAAACAGTCTTCTGTCCAAGTTGTCAAGTTTTCAAGTCTTTGGTTCTTGTAATGCCAAGATCCTTGTGTCACGTTCCTGCCTTTGCCTATGTGTGTGTCTTAGAAGAGTTTTGCCTAGATTCGGCTTCCCGTGTGCGTGTTCCTGCACCTTGGGTGATTTCTATGTTCTTGTATTTCTAGTTCCTGTGAAGTTTACATGGATTCCTGAAATACTTTTATTGAGCTCTGACTGCCTTTGTCTATTGCTGTTTATATCCTGACTTCTGCTTTTGGGAGATGATTCTGCCCCCTCCTTTCGTTGTCCTTGATTCAATCCACTCTTCTATTTGGGCCTCTGGTGTGGGGCTGGGTGAAGAGGGGCCTCGGGGCGAGGGGGCAACCGATGGCTTGGAATTGATGTCCAGGAAGAAGGCATGGAAGCTTTTGCAAAGGGCCGCCCCATATTTGTATGAAAACACATGTGGACAGGGACAGGCAAGCACCAAAGGGATGGGAAGGAAGGAAGGAAGGAAGGAAGGAAGGAAGGAAGGAAGGAAGGAAGGAAGGAAGGAAGGAAGGAAGGAGATACGGAACCTGTTCCTCGCTGGTCAAGATGGAGGCCAAATGGGCATCTCTGGACTGGCAGAAGTTCTCAGCATCAAACCAAGACTTTTTCCTTTTGGAAATATAATAGAGATTGTTCCCATAGATGTCCCAGCCGTTCACAGACTTGGTCTCCTTATTGAATAAGGCTCCTAAGAGGAATGAAGAGACTGGGGTGAGCAGGATGACCGGGGTCAAGAGCCCCAGGGTCAAGCCCTAGGCTCAAGGACGATTGGGGGGTGGTCCGTGGCCGAGGAGGGAGTCAGACCCCATTCTCCAATTGGGAAGCTCAAGCCACCACGCCTTCCCAGAAGTGTCCTTGGGCCAGAGGACCTTCGTTTCAATAGGACTGGTTTGTTTACTTCACTTATACTTCACCTTTCTCCCTGAGGGGGCTCAAGGTGGCTATCATGCATGGTTTTGCGTGTGCCCACGAAGCATGAGCTCCAGGGTGTGGATGCACGTGGGGTTTGGGAACGTATCCCCTGTGGATTTGGGGGCTGCTCTGGATTTGAAATCCAGTTGACCCCCTTTAGACCCCTTGGGGCTCAAAGCCTTGGGGCTCAAAGGCAGGCATGGGCCATCTTCGGCCCTCCCTCCAGGTGTAGGCCGTTAGGAATTGTGGGAGTTGAAGTCCAAAACACCTGGAGGGAGGGCCGAAGTTTGCCCATGCCTGCTCAAAGGGCTTTGCTCAGCCGTGCTTTCCCAGGTGGCAAAGTGGGGGCCCGGTCTAGAGATACATATACTTACGATATTTTTTCTTCTGTTCCTCATATTCCTTTTGCGTGTTATCTATGTAAAAGGGTAACTTCATGATTTCGTGGGACAGTCTGGCATCTGCAAAGATTGCCAGAGTTAGGATGAGTTTTTGGAGTCCATCTCACAGAATCACAGAATCGGCCGCCTGTAAGACTGTAGGTTTTATATAGCAATATTAAATGATCACTCACAAGCCGGTTTTGCTTTGAAATGAATATATTGCTTGTATCTCTGCAGCAAAGAAAGACACTACTGACTTTTCCCCACCACCACTTCCTTTTATACACCTTTCCTGCCCATCTCCCCCTCTTCTCAGTTTCCTTATTAGAACTTGTTGCTTCACAAGTTCCAATACAAGGTTTCCAGCACCTTCTGCTGGCTTCAAAATGTCACAGAGAGAAAATTGAGGCAGCCAGGATGATTCAGTCAGGATGTCATGGAGGGAATTTGTGATGTTTTCATGGCATCAGAAATTGACTCCTGACACGGCCTCCTTCTCTGCCTTTATTTTGTTGGAAATGCCAACCTTCTTCAAGCCTTCCCTAACCATCTGTTTGTCTATGATTGTGTTGCTTGCTGTTTCCTGTAGGTATATTCTGGCATGCAGCTTCCTTTACTCTATGGGTTCTGCCGAAGGGGCCGCAGACCACGTGCTCCCCCCTCTCCCTCTCCTTTAGGACACCAAAGAAAAGAAAACCTCGGGTGCATCGAAGCTGCAGAATGAATCCCCTTTAATTGCCCCGGCTCAATGCTGTGGAATCATGGGGGCTGGGTTGTGGGGTCATGGGAGCTGCCAAAGGATACTGATGCCTCAGCAAACTACAAATCCCAGGATTGCATAGCATTGAGCCGTGGCCACTGAATGAGAGGTGACGTCCCTCAAATAGAAGCTCCAGGCGCAGCTCCTCCTTTTGCCTTGGCTCAGTACTTAGGTGACCGTACCGCAAATCTAAAACACACCCTAATTTTGGGAAGGTAATTTAGCAAAACAGTTGAGTATTGGATGTGAGAACAAAGATCGGCTCCAATATCAATGAAATGTGGGTTTAAAATTCCCAGTTTACAATGGACTGGGTCAGCCTTCTAGAATTTGGACCCCAAAGAGTCTCTCTCTCTCCTCCCCTCCTTTGTTTTTGACACAGGAAGTGCCTCCTACTCAGCTCTTGATCTGTAGAAATGTCATGAATACTTCTTTCTATTGCAGTTTTCAGTGAGAGAGGCCATATCAAGACTTTTACAGAATGACATTGGACATCCAGACATCGGAGATACAGACATACAGATTCAATGTCATTACATTGGATTCACAAACCGCTTACAGTAACACTGGCTAACAAACTATTTATTTATTTACTTTATTTGTATACCACCTTTCTCAGCCTGTTGGCGACTCAAGGGAATTACCTTGTTTCTCAGCATTCACACACATGTGCATGCATCCATCACCATGCATGCACATATTACCATATCTTTTTCTCCCTCCTTGGAGGGGAACCCCTGTTTCGGCCAAGCCCTGCTTCCCTGCAGCCTGCCAGCACGCAATTCCAAAGTTTCCATAACGCCAAAACTTCTTTCCCCAAGAACAATGCCAAGGACCAGATTTGTGTTTTCCTACAGCAACAACTGACTTCCCTGCAAAGGTATCATGACTCCAAGATCGCACTCCTTCCTCTTCCCTTGAGAAACAGAGGCATACACTATCTCTGTCCTTCCCATGGACCAGAGCATGGCGGGTGAACAGCTCCGCTGTCTGCCACACTTGAGAATTATTAGATCGAGTCTTTTATAGGAATATTCTGCTGAAGTTGTAAATAATTGTCCTGTCGAGATTATTTTGAGTCTTCACCTCTTGGCATAGATGTTTGTCCTCAGGTAATGAGCCATTCTGTTCTGTGTTTGACTTGAAAGAGCATTGTCTTTGATTAATGTAAACAGAGGTCATTTACTTTAGAGTTAATATGATTTCTCATCAGCAAATGTTGATAGATGTAAACAGATGTAAACATTTATCTTATCGCCATCACAGTTCTTTTCACAGTTTATTTTTCAGCTCTCATTAGCAACTTTTAATTACAGTTCCTCAAGCAGGCAGTTAATGATTTAATCATTGCAGGCCTTAATCTTTCAGAATGGTGTTGTTGGGAATCAGCTTGTTTTTGTGTTTCAGGATCTTGATGTGGGAAATGATGGTGCCGAAGCTGAAGTACAAGATGGAGATGGTTTGGTCAATGATTTTCAGGCAGACAATGACAGAGAGGCCCCAGTGCAAAGGGCAGTTTCTCATGAGAATATCCCTGCTGGGCCTAGCAATGATGGTTCACTCCCTCTCTCTGTGAGCTCTCAAGATTTGGGTTTGGAAAACAATCTGACACCTGGGAATTTTAATGAGCTGCCAGATAGGGAGCTGAAGAATAGGCAGCTGGAGATTGGCCAGGATCTGCAACAATCTCAGTATTTACGTCGCTCTGAAAGGCTGTGTCTGATAAAAGGAAAATGTGGGGGGAAACGAAAGCAATTTCTGAGTTTTGGGATATAAAGTTTGCTTCAAGAGAAAACCTGTCAGATCAGGCATTATTTGGAAACCAAGTTCTTGTGCCATGGAAGTCTTGTTCAAGGGATCTTGTTTCTGTGGAGTTTTTTTAACCTTTTGGATTGTCTTTGTATCCTGCTTGATTCCTGTCTGGATTAATGCTTTCTTGGATTACCTGTATTTCTTGTGTGGACATTGCTTTGGGTTACTACTGTTTATGGACTAATACTTTTTGGAACCTTCTGATTTTCTTACAAGCATTTATTTCTTCTGGCTATTTACTAAGCTTCAATAAAAGAAGATTTGCTTCTTCACTCTTCGTGTGGTGTGTTTTAAGTCAGAGGGCTTCTTCTGGGCCTGGAGTGCTACAGGTATCTCCAAAATTATTAACTCTCGCTCATTCTTCTTTCATTCAGTTCATTCGTACCCATACATATATCAAATCCGCACATTATATTTCAGTCCCAACGCAAGAAAAGCAGTGAAAGGCAGCCCAGAAATTGTCCAAAACTCGCTCCAATACAAGGGCCACCCCTTAAAACGAGGGGTACCTGATTGCTCCTCGGAGACAAATTTATTTATTTACTTACTTATTCTCTTCGTTTCTACCCAGCCTTTCTCACCCGAAGGGACTCGCGGCGGCAAAAATTCAATGCCAGTAAAAACCAGTACTAACAATAAAAATTAAACAGTTAAAAATGATTAACCTTAAGCAATAATACAATAGGGTTGTTGTAGGGGGTTTTTTGGGGCTATGTGGCCATGTTCTAAAGGCATTTTCTCCTGACGTTTTGCCTGCATCTATGGCAAGCATCCTCTGAGGGTGTTTGCCATAGATGCAGGCGAAACGTCAGGAGAAAATGCCTTTAGAACGTGACCATATAGCCCGAAAAAAACTACAACAACCCAATGATTCCAGCCATGAAAATCTTCAACAATACAATAATAAAATACATCAGTATACAAATTTTAAAAACATATAAAGTGCATGCTTCAAATTCATCCACAACCCTGCTGCTCATAATCCTTAATCAAGACCGTGTCGAAACCATAGAAACTTGCTTTTTGAATGCTTGTGCGCAGAGGCAAGTCTTCAGTTTTCCTCAAGCCCAGAAGGAATGGGGCCTGCCTAGTGTCTCTGGGGAGGGAGTCCCACAGCCGAAGGAGGGGCCACCACGGAGAAGGAAGGAAGGCCCTGCCTCTCGTCCCCCCCAGTGGCACTTGAGAAGAAGGTGGGACCGAGAGCAGGGCCTCCCCAGAAGACCTTAAAGTTCTAGTAGGCTCATGAGAGGAGGCGCATTCGGACAGAAGAGTTGGGCCAGAATGGTTTAGGCCCTTTCCTTTCCTCAACCAACCTGAAATGAAAAACCGTGCGCCACCGTCCACTTACGGTTTGCATAGTTCATATCCCTATCCCTCATTCCAATCGACATCGTATGCCTCAGGTCATTCAGGCGTTTTTCTGTGGAGAGGAGATTGTTTGCATTCGTCCAAGATTTATCTGAAATTGATGAGAGAAAAGGAATGGGGAATTCTTGTTGTCATGACACTAGGGGGCACTAGGAATCTGAGTGTGTTCTTAAAATTAGCTGCTGAGTGCTTTGTTTGAGAGGCGGGGCGAGGCTCATTGTTCTCAGAGTGACTCAGAGTGACTCAGAGTGAGTTGTTGCTGCTTCCTGTTTACCCTATAAAAGCCAGGGCCTGAACTCAAGTGGCAGTTATGCTCCCACAGAAGTTGAGGAAGCAAAAAGCCATTTTGTTCCCTTCTGCTTCAGGTAAGCCTAGTCTTAGGGGACACTAGGAATCTGAGTGTGTTTTTAAAATTAGCTGCTGAGTGTGTTTTTAAAATTAGCTGCTGAGTGCTTTGTTTGAGAGGCTGGGCGAGGCTCATTGTTCTCAGAGTGACTCAGAGTGAGTTGTTGCTGCTTCCTGTTTGCCCTATAAAAGCCAGGGCCTGAACTCAAGTGGCAGTTATGCTCCCACAGAAGTTGAGGAAGCAAAAAAGCCATTTTGTTCCCTTCTGCTTCAGGTAAGCCTAGTCTTAGGGGACACTAGGAATCTGAGTGTGTTTTTAAAATTAGCTGCTGAGTGTGTTTTTAGCTGCTGAGTGCTTTGTTTGAGAGGCTGGGCGAGGCTCATTGTTCTCAGAGTGACTCAGAGTGACTCCGAGTGAGTTGTTGCTGCTTCCTGTTTACCCTATAACGCGCTGCCAGCAGTGGAACTCTCTGCCCCGGAGTGTGGTGGAGGCTCCTTCTTTGGAAGCTTTTAAACAGAGGCTGGATGGCCATCTGTCAGGGGTGATTTGAATGCAACATTCCTGCTTCTTGGCAGAATGGGGTTGGACTGGATGGCCCATGAGGTCTCTTCCAACTCTTTGATTCTATGATTCTATGGCAAGACTGCCTGTGAGAAGGGGATTCTGGCGTTGGACTAGATGGCCTCAAGGATCCCCATTCAACACTGGGATCAGATCTATGGCCCCTTTCATTTGTGTTGGGGAATCAGAGCTGTTAAGCTCAAAATAACCCTCAGTTGGGGTGATTCCTCCATAAATATAGCAGAGTAACAGATGCAGACTCATAACCAGCAGAAACATACGTGTGGTGAGCCAGGATAAACTTCCATTCAACAGGATGGGTCAGGATTGCAGAGTCAGAACTTTCGGTCCAAAGTATTTGTTTAAGAAAAGAAATACATTCTAAATAGGAAAAGGTCTTGGGACTCACAAGCACATCTTCTCAGAAAGGTAAAAGGATAAAAAATCAGCATATCCATGCAGCTACATTTTGCCTCGAGCACATCCTGGCACTTTCTATCCTTTTGAAATTCAATGAGCTCTTCCCGGATTTCTTCTGCAACCTCTCCAATTTCAATCATCATTAAATAAGTCAAAATGAATATGAATATTGAGGGCTCACGGTCAGTAAAACTACTGGAGCCGTCAAATCACCAACAGCCAAATAGACAGAATGACTGACAAAACCGAGCAAGACAAAAGAACGCGTGCGACAGACTGGCGATGGGTGGCGTGAGTACGTGGCGTCAATCGCTCGCTTTCCCCCAGACTGAAGTCCTGCTCACTGGCACCGCCCACGTAGCACCAGATTCATATAAATGTCACGTTGCCAGGGCTCTGCCTTTACCGAGGCAGAGATGAACCAAACAAAAACCCAGTTTGTATAAAGCAATTTAATTATAACAGCACTTACTTCTTAGCTGTTTTAATAATCCAAAATATAAAACATAACTCTGTTTACAGAAAACCCACACACACAGGTAGATATCTACACAAAAACTCCAACCATCACCCAAGTCAAAAAAGAAGCACCATTAAAGCCTTGGCAGACCATGCAAAAAGAATCTGCGAAGCCCACCTCCTCCAAGATGAACTGAACCACCTCAACTGGGCTCTCCAGGCCAATGGAGACTCCACCTCAGACATCAGAAGAGCTGCAAGACCAAGAAAGAAGCCACGAGAGTCAAGACAAAGACCCACCCAGAGGAAAAGGGTTCTTGCCATACATCAAGGGAACCACTGACCGCAGAGGGAAGCTGATGAGGAAACACAACATACAAACTATCTACAGACCCACCAAGAAAATCCAACAAATGCTACGTTCAGCAAAGGACAAGAGGGATCCTCTCACTTCTGCAGGAGTCTACCGGATACCATGAAGCTGTGGACAAGAAGTCTACATAGGGACCACCAAACGCAGCATTGCCCAAACACGAATCAAGGAACATGAAAGGCACTGCAGACTACTTCAACCAGAGAAGTCAGCCATAGCAGAGCACCTGATGAACCAGCCTGGACACAGCAGATTATTTGAGAACACAGAAATGCTGGACCACACCAACAACCACCATGTCAGGCTACACAGAGAAGCCATTGAAATCCACAAGAAGAATGTGGACAATTTCAACAGAAAGGAAGAGACCATGAAAATGAACAAAATCTGGCTACCAGTATTAAAAAACTCTAAAATTACAACAGCACAACAACAGAGAGGAAACAAACAAGGACATCTAATCACCTCTCAACAAAAGTTTGCTCCAGGCACTGTAAGGCCATTATATGCTAATCAAGGTGGTCAGTTGAAACATTCACACCTAGCTCCAGCAGACAAGAGTCCTTTGTCCCACCCTGGTCATTCCACAGATATATAAACCCTTTTCCTAGTTCCAACAGACCTCACTACCTCTGAGGATGCTTGCCATAGATGCAGGCGAAACATCAGGAGAGAATGCCTCTAGAACATGGCTCTATAGCCCGAAAAAACCCACAAGAACCTAATATTATTGTTATTATATTATCATTAATAATATTAAACTCTAAAATTAGAACAGCAAAACAACAGAGAGGAAACAAACAAGGATATCTAATCACCTCTCAACAAAAGTTTGCTCCAGGCACTGTCAGGCCATTATATGCTAATCAAGGTGGTCAGTTGAAACATTCACACCTAGCTCCAGCAGACAAGAGTCCTTTGTCCCACCCTGGTCATTCCACAGATATATAAACCCTTTTTCCTAGTTCCAACAGACCTCACTACCTCTGAGGATGCTTGCCATAGATGCAGGCGAAACGTCAGGAGAAAATGCCTCTAGAACAGGGCCATAGAGCCCGGAAAAACCTACAACAACCCATAAAACATAAAGATAGCACTCAGCCGTAGAATAAACAAAAGCTGACAGCAAACACTGTTGCAGGTTCAAGATAACTCCGTAGTCAAAAGGTCCAATCCAATGGTTGAATAAACTAAGTCCAGGGATCAAGAGTCTACACCGTAGTCAAAAGCCATTCTAAAGATTCAAGATTCCAGGATTCCAAAGGTTCAGGAGACAGGTCAGGACACCGAAAATCTGCAAACCTGGGGGAAAACCAGCAGCATCTACCACCAAAATAAGACAAATACTTTCCTTCCGAAATACAGTATTTTGGACTACATATCCAGAAACACCCAGCTGCAACCTATCTCTTGCATACCTGCACCTTTAATTGCTTTCACCCATGAACTCTTACTTGCAGGTTACTCAACCCTTTAGAACTAAGACTTACATTAAGCCTTCCATCACCAACTGCTAGGCCTGCCACCACCAACCGCCATCAACTACAGAACGCGATACATCTCAATAAATGAATAAAGGTTTGGAATTATAAATGTTTGGCGGAACCTATTTTAGTTCTTGCAGACCACTGGTTGGGAACCACGGCCCTAAACGGAGAACGAGACTCACAGATGGAGATCGAGGCGATGAAGACGATGACGCCGAAGACGGCGGCAACCTGAAGACCGATCCACAGATTCTTGGGAGAAGCCACGTTGAAAGGGAAGTTCCTGAACATGGCTGCTGACCGCTGGCGGAGCTTTTGGGCCGTTTCTTTAGCTCTTGCTTTGCCACCTTTGTCCTTTGCACCTTCCTTTGCTGCTGGCGTGGCCGCTGCTGGCGTGACCACTGCTGGCATGACCGCTGCTGATGTGGCCGCTGCTGGCGTGACCGCTGCTGGCTTGGCCGCTGCTGGCTTGGCTGGTGCCTTTGCCTTGGGAGCCATGGCTGGAAGGAAAAGAAGGTCAGAGGCGCCCAGGGGAGCGTGCTCGCCCCATCCATGTTCAACATCTACACAAATGACCAGCCACTGCCAGAAGGGACAGAGAGTTTCATCTATGCTGATGATCGTGTCATCACCGCTCAAGCAGGGAGCTTTGAGATGGTATGAACAGAAGCTCTCCGAAGCTCTAGGTGCTCTTACTGCCTATTACAGGGAAAACCAGCTGATCCCCAACCCATCTAAAACACAGACATGTGCCTTTCACCTTAAGAACAGACAAGCATCCCGAGCTCTGAGGATCATTACCTGGGAAGGAAGGAATCCCACTGGAGCATTGCAGCGCACCCACATACCTGGGAGGAGTCACTCTGGACCGTGCTCTGACCTACAAGAAGCACTGCCTGAACATCAAGCAAAAAGTGGGTGCTAGAAACAATATCATACGAAAGCTGACTGGCACAACCTGGGGATCACAACCAGGCACAGTGAAGGCATCTGCCCTTGCACTATGCTACTCTGCTGCTGAGTACACATGCCCAGTGTGGAACACATCTCACCACTAAAACAGTGGATGTGGCTCTTAATGAGACATGCCGCATTATCACGGGGTGTCTGCGCCCTACACCACTGGAGAAATTACACTGCTTAGCCGGTATTGCACCACCTGACATCCGCCGGGAAGTAGCAGCCAATAGTGAAAGGACCAAGGCAGAGACAGCTCCAGCTCATCCCCTGTTTGGGTATCAGCCAGCACGTCAACGACTTAAATCCAGAATAGTTTTCTAAGATCTACAGAGACACTCGCTGGAACACCTCAGCAAGCGAGAGTCCAAAAGTGGCAGGCTCCAACCCAGCACCTCAACCAATGGCTGATACCAAATGAGAGACTCCCCCCTGGGCACACATAGGACTGGGCGACTTGGAAGGCGCTGAACAGACTGCGCTCTGGCACCAAGAGATGCAGAGCCAACCTCAGGAAATGGGGCCACAAAGTGGAATAATCCACGACATGCAAGTGCGGAGAAGAGCAAACCACTGACCACCTGCTTCAATGCAACCTGAGCCCTGCCACATGCACCATCCAATGCTGGGACCATTCCAGAATGAATAGTTCTGGGTGGAGACCCCAGTGGCGCAGAGGGTTCAACCACTGTGCCGGCAGGACTGAAGACCAACAGGTCGCAGGTTCGAATCCAGGGAGAGGCGGATGAGCTCCCTCTATCAGCTCCAGCTCCTAATGCGGAAACATGAGAGAAGCCTCCCACAAGGATGATAAAACATCAAATCATCCGGGCATCCCCTGGGCAACGTCTTTGCAGACGGCCAATTCTCTCACACCAGAAGCGACTTGCACTTCCTGACAAGTCGCTCCTGACATGACAAAAAAAAGTTCTGCGTGCAAAGAGGCCCGTTGCATGTCCAATAGTTCTATCTAAGAATGTTTATTGAAGGGAAACAGGGGGAAAGGCAATAGGGTCTGGAGAACAAGCCAGGGTCTGGAGAACAAGCCCTATGAGGAGCGGCTTAGGGAACTGG